TTTAGTAACCTATTATTCTGTCGATTAACCGGATAAAAAAATTGGTAATGTAGGGTTGATTTATAATAAGATATTTCATCAGAACCTGAACCAGGTGAAGCTAAAACTTGAGTTTTACTTGAGTTCTGGGTGGAGAACTCAAGTGCCATAGATTTCTTTTTTTTTTTCTTTATCTGAAATGTAAAAAATTATATGTTTTGTGTGCAGATTTGGCTTAACTGCTGCTATTGGTGTGTTGTTTTAGTAATTCTTAGTCTGTATGCACTTTTTAGCAATTAATCAATCATTAAATTAGTTAATTATTTAATAATAAAATTACAGTAATTAATTCATGACAATTAATCCGATTAATTGCTTCAACTGCAATCGTTTCTTCTATTTGTTCTTATATTCAAGAGATTAATGGAACATTATTCACTTGTTATTTGACAGAAGTTTAAGTTAGAATAAGATGTCAGTCCCAGCGAAATTTCTAACAGTCATTGGGGCTTTTCCAACCACAATATACCTAACTTGATCTCAGTTGCAGTACACCAGCGGCTCCTCTGACCTTGTTGTTATCGCCACTAACGAGATCTGTGCCGCTTCCTTTCTGCTCTTTATCCCTGCCGTCACACCGCTCTGTGTCTTCCTTGGGGGCCCGCAGGAGGGACACCGGTATTGAGTCTGACAGAGAACGAGGTGTGCGTTTACCTGCTGTGACTGCTCCATTGCCACTCGCTCATGCCTTTCCCTCTGTTCCTCTCTTTTCTGTCACAGGCTGTGATCCAAAACCCTTTCAGTAATGGAGGAAGCCCAGCAGGAGAGGCAGTGGGAGGGGAGACCCGCTTCGCTTACTTCCCCGCAACCGCTGTGAGCGACGGGACCGTGTCAGTGCAGGCCGCTGCAGACCCAACCCTCACACAGGCGGGGGGTGAGTCACTTCTCACTCGCGGTCTGCACTGGGCCGAAGCACATCAGAGTTACATGGCTAATTAAGCCATTATTTTTACAAAAGCCGCTCGTTATGAGTACCCTAAAGCCAGAATAACACCCTTGTCTCTTAGTAGATCTAAATAAGCCATTATCTCTAAAGCTCTGGTTAATTTAAAATACAGCAGGATGCTGTAGATGCAAATTCTACTCTCACATTTGTTGCATGCTGTGGCTATAGCTTTATTTGCAGTGAAGGTGAGAGTCGAAAAGATGCTTTATCTGTTATTATTCAGTGAGTGTTTGAAAAGCCTGTTTTGGTCAGGCTCAGGCGTCCTGCCACGGCTCCTCCAGCTTTAATGCGATCTCATGTGTCTTCAGGAGGCGCATCATTTTAGAATCAGATAATTTCATAAATGGGGAAATAAAGGCAATATACAAACCACAAGCGGTGTCCTCAGATGTGCAAGGCTCGATTGCAATTTAGTCACCGCTTGTTTGTCACATGCTACCATCCGGCCTCATCCACACGGTCACATGTTGTTGTCCTGCTGTATTACCTCGTTGTGTGGTTTTAATGTGCTTGTGCTGATGACTCTTATGAGGAAATCTGTTGATATGGGTTCCTGTTCTTTGCTTAGAAGCTGTTCAGAACATTAGTAACTGAGCGACCAAACATTCAGCTCCGTTATGTGCAACAAATCTTTTTATTGCGTGCAAATCGGCCAGGTTTAGATCCTGTGGGCTGTTATTGAGGAATGACTGACTGGTTGCTGTTTTTTTTTTTTTTTTTTTTTACCATTTATGGTGATTGTAACTCTGTTGGTTTTATTCAGAAAATTCTTATTTGTTTAGAATGCGTTGGACTATGGATTGTTTTATTCTAAAATCGCCCAAACGGGGATCCAAAAAGATTTGTGCCTAATAAATCCAGGCATTCTGCCCAGTTTCAGTTTGTGATAGTGAGAAATATATGCTGCGGTTAAGTTGAGAGGTATTTTAAATGACAGTGTTTTTTGCTCACTACAGCAGAATAGTAAGATGTACATAGATTTATTAGTTCTGGTAAATTCAGCCTGTAAATTGCACGTTTTTGCCATCACTATGCTGTAGGGCTAACTAAATTAACTTATAACCCTGATAAAGATTTCAATATTTTATATTGATTTTTAATGCAGTAAAGCTAACAAAGTGCACCGGTTTGGAGTTTTAACTATAGAAATACTGAAAAAAATTGACTTTCTAACAGGTTGCATCATATTCAAACTTGCCCTGAGTCATTAAACATATTTGATTCATTTTACCCATAAGCAGTTGATAATGTATTGTGTCAAAGTCATGCAGCAGCACATCCATAAACTGATTTTATTTTATTTTTATCATAAGTCTGTGTATTGCGTCATTCGACAGAGCCAGAACTCAAACTACCTCGGTTCCATACAAGTCGAGGTTCCTCTGCTGTTTATTACACAAGAGGTTCAGCCTTTTGGCTGGAGTGAGAATGAGAAGAATTTGAGGACAGCCTGGGGAAAGAAAAACAATCTTCTGTTTTGAATTTTTTTTTACTAAGCTTGGCGTATTATCAGGGGTTTAACATAAGAGCAATACTTTTGAGAAAACTGAATCTTTCTTTTGTTTTTTTCAGAGTAGAAAACATGTTAATCAAAAACTGGGTTTTAAAAAGTCTGTGTAGAATAATCCAGATTAGTCCATATATAGTACATTTTATGTTTGCCTAATTTCATCATGGTCCAAATGGCAAAAAAGAAAACAAACATTAAATGTTCTCCCCTTTCATGTTTTAACCATTAGAGTAAAGCCTGTATAAATCTCAGTCTGTGTTTCTAAAGAATCTAAGTATCGTTTTGATCTAAGTATTTTAGATCTTCAAATGTGGCCCAGATTCTTTAAAGACTGAAACGGCCCTTTTAGTTTTGTGCCTTTAAGAATGTAAAGTCATGTCAAGTTCACTTTCGTTATCCAGATTTAGTGGATGGCCATATTTTCTTACAGCCTTGAAGATTCTATCTCTTGTACATCACTCCGTTTTTCTTCCTCTGGGTGCCAAAGCGGTGCCACAGACAGCCCTCTTAATGCCGGTGTGTGTGGGTGTCATCACCCATCCTGAGGAGCAGTCTTTATTGTCTTTCTTAGTAAACTTTGTCCACACACAGGCACAACTCAACAAAAACTGACATTCTTGCTTCAAATCAATCACACTCAAATAAAGCAGGTTGTCAGACTGAAAGCATCCATCTTCATATCTGGCGTTTCTCATATCAGCTTGAATTTGCTTCACTAGATCAAGTATCAAGCTGTTGGCAACTAGAAAGCGCTTTGTCACACTGCTTTCATTTGGATTAGAAAATACGATCTTTTAATGTCATGAGATTTGGTGCCACAAGTCTAAATTTGCACGAAAGACTTGGGTTTGTTCTTCTTGTTTCTAACAGAAAATGTCCCGTTTCAAGAAATTCTAAAGCGTATGTTGACTTGAAGCTGATTACTCACTTAAAACACATCCTCGTATAACTCCTGCAGGTCAGTTTTATGTGATGATGACGCCCCCTGATGTCATTCAGACAGGCACACCACGAACCATCGCCCCACGCACGCAGCCTTACCCTGCGTAAGTATCTCCTCTCATTCAGTAATATCACATCGGAACTTTGTCTCCTCCTTTAAAGAAATGCCCTGATCAAAGTAGTCTTCAGTTTGACTTCAACCGTCTGAGTTTTTGACTGTTTTCATTAAGCCCTACGGTGAATCTACAGGCCTTGACTCAAGCTTCTTTGTAAATCAACAGCCTCTGTCCATCAGTCTAAGATGCATATCATCAAAGGATGTGATCACATCAAATTAACAAAGAGGCATAAATAAAGTAATACAAATCCTAATGCAGGAGGAGGCTGTAGAGGTACAGTTGAAATTTCCCAGCATTAGAGATGTAATGGATAGTAGAGAGGCATTTTTTCATGTGAGTTTATCAATAAGTTTAAATCTTAAATCATCGCTTTTATGACTTCTGTTACCTAATTTTTGCTAAACGCCATGATTTAGTCTGAGTTCCTCATCTGCTTTTCTCTGTTTTGGCCCATACTGCCTGCCTGTCTCTGAAAGCAACGCACTTTACAATAATCAGGCATCAAACAAGATTAATCTCAGAAGATCCTCCACTGCTAGACACACGCTGGTATTTGTAGTCACTAGGATTATAAGCAGGGTCACTCAAACGGCGTCTGTCGTGTTAATTAAGTGACACCAGGCTGCGTCTGGCTTAATTTAGATGCTTACTTAAAAGACGAGGCTTCACTTCATGCCAAAAACACATTGGCACTGGTTAATAAGTGCTGAGAATTGAAAGATTATTGAATCTCAAGTAGCTTGATTTTTCTGTTGTTTGGTAAAAGCCAACTCAGTCATTAGCTTTCTTGGTCACAGACTGAACACATGACTCTTTATCAAACTGGGTTTGCTTTGAGCTAAATGAATATTCTTGTTATGTTCTAGCCGACTTTAACCTTTCAACATTTCCAATTTGGGTTAGTTGTTTTGAAGATCAGAAGCAAAGGAGTTTCATGTAGGATTTCTTTTGCCAATATTTGCAGTTCGCTAGTACAATATCCATACCCCTTGAGCTGTTTGGCATGCAGTCACACTACAACCATCAACTTCAGTACATTTTATTGGGGTTTTATATGATAGTCAAACACAAAATAACACACAGTTGTTAAGTAGAAGCAAATGGATGCACACTTTTCTTATTTTTTTCCCTTGTTTAAACCCCTTAAGTAACTACAACCACATTTGCAGTCTTTTTGGGTATGTCTCTACAAGTTTTGCACATATTTAGGTTTTAGATCTGAACTTTGACTTGGCCATTCTAACACATGAGTGTTGATTCAAACCATTATACCACTGGTGGTATGTTTCGAGCTTTTGACCAACTTGAAGGAACTTCCACCCACCTCCAGTCTTTTGCATCCTGTAAGGGGTCGCCTCCCCAAACGTTGTCCTGTATGTGGCTTTGGCCATCTTTCCTTTTTACTTTTTAAATTAATTGGGTGAAATTAGATCAGTTTAAAAAACATGTGTTCTTTCCCTACCTATGTAGTACTTTATGTTGGTCTGTTGCATAAAATTCAAATACGGAGGTCTCAAATCCAGCTCAAAGGGTATGAATATATTTCCTGTAAGAAGTATCTTGTTGGTATGTGTGTAATGGAATAAAAATAAATATGTATGTGTTTCAGTCATTTCAAAGAACTCTAGATGTTTCAAAGATGTACTTTTTTTTTTTTTTTTTTTGATGGGCATCTTTAAGGGCCGAGCAGTTTGTTAACCTGACAGCAGCTCTGCTTTATGCTGCAGCGTCGACACGCTGCTTTACTGCCGAGACTAAAGAACAAACCATGCTGGAGTTTATGTAAATAAACTGTAGAATATTTCATTTCCGTCTTTAGATTCCTGTTTGTGACATGTATGTTCCTATTTATTCCCTCCTACGTAATAACTGTAACCCATTTAACGTGTAACAGATATATTTGTGCTAACTAACCAACAGTATGATTGACATGTGAACAAAGTGAATGAAAACCTCCCACCCTATTTGCCGTTCGCAGAGATGAAAACGAGCTGCTGCAACATGAAGGTTTAAACTGGTGAGGACAGTTTCCACATTTCTCCCGCACTCCTGTTTTTTTTTTTCTTCTTTTTAAACAGCAAATGAACTAATCAAATAAGATCACAAGGAAATAAGCAGCTCAAGGTCTCTCAGTCTCTGCCCCCCCTCCTCCCCACCCTCTCATCCATAAGTCCCCGGTGATTCTCTGAGCTCTTGATATACGAGACACAGATAATTTGTTCGATGCCGACCCTGATCCATTGTTGCTAGTTGTGCTTGTGGCAAATAAATTTTTCCATTAGGACCTAGAAACTGGGTCATTGTTTTCCATCTGGAAACAAATGCTCGATCCACACTATTTTAGTGTCGTTTCTAAGTGCTCCTTTGTTGTAGTGCAGTTTTGTTCTCATTTAGCCTAGTTTTTGAAGTTGGTGGGAGAAGTACATAGAGAGTATTTGACATTTCTTTCTTCAACACTGTTGGAAAAAGTGTATTTCATTGACCCGGCTGTATTAGTTTCATAAATTATGTTAGGTAAAATATATTATTTGGCATTTCTGCAATACCTCACATATCACTGACCACTGGTGACCGCCAAGGGCTTAAAGCTGATCCCCTAAATCATCCTTTGCAATCATTAGAAGTCCAAGCTGCTGTCTGTAAGGTCTCATTTTATGATTTATTGTCTTACTGTCAAGGCCGTTGCTTGGTTAAGAGAGGACCAGTGGTGCAGGAGAATTAAAAATGAATTTCCTTGACCAATGTGCACAGCTGTGCAAACTTGTTTTAACTAATAATCTGGATAAACTGATTCAGCAGTGAGGCTGTGTTTCTTCTTATTGTCTTTATTTGTGTGGAAACAGTACATCAGGGATATTAAGATGGTGTGTGGCTCTGTAGTGTAGAAAATAAAAAAAGGGGGAAATCGTTATTCCTCTGGGCCTGCACACTTAGTTATTCACACAGTTATCCCCCCGTTGTTTTAAATGAACCATTGAGCTAAATCCAGTTTTCAGCTGAATTCTGTTAATATAGAACAGAAACCATTTTGTTGGCATCCCCGATAACAATTCATCTTTAAATTCAGAAATAAAACCTCGCAATGAAATTTGAAGAAAATTCCCACCTAATTTGAGTGCATTCACAACTTTCTGTTTCTCTGGGGCATAAATATAATGCGACACAGAGGCTCATTTCTTTTAGCCACTGGGGAAGACCCATATTTAACTCAGCGTCACACACATTAAGCAGGGTGCTGGAAGGGGTACAAAAGATTATAAGTAAAGAGGGCATTTTGGGTCAATAACTCTAGTTGTTTGGAGGCATTTCAGAAAAAGCCATTTCTGACCTGTCATCACAAATATACAAATTATTTAAATATAAATAAAGTTTGCTAAACATTATTGGGTTGTGCTTTGGTCAGTTTGATCTGTTTGAAACAAAAAACTCCATACGGAATTGGTGTAAATTAAAACGTGACTATGTGAAAAGCCCTTTTATCCCCACTGTAAAGTATCTTTAGCAGAATAGTGATCTTAAACGTATAATCAACGACACAAAAAAATTTCACCACACCATCGCCTGCGGCCAACATCAAGTCAAATGAAAAGACACTATGAAATAACACGTATGATAACGTGTGTCTGTTTTTGGCCCTTTTATAGCGTAACGGCAAATTGGAAAGCTTTGGCAGTGATGTCTCTGTGAGTTCGTTAAGCAGAGTCCCGAGGCAGGATACAGAGACACGGGGCCGTTATGTTGGTCTTCAAACACCCAAACTTCAGCAGAAAGCAGCTCATTTAGTCATTTTAAACACTAATAGATCAGTGTCCTCCCTTTGGGCCTCACCTGGGAACAGAACAGGCAGCAGAAGTTTGGCCCAGTCTCAGTTTTCCAGTTAAGTGGCTCGAGGCTACGGGCGGGTGCGTCACAGCTGCACACGTAGCCTCACATGGCCGTGCATCCCGAAGTTTTTCCAACCACAAAGCAACTTCAGAGGCTTGGTAAAAATAGCTCCTACATTAGTTTTGAATTGCAAGGTAACATTGAAGAATGCTGCATATAATAGGGTAAGGCATAGCTGGATTTGGGGGATGGGGTTGGATTTCTACCTGATTGTGTGGTGCTCGGAGATGAGGGATGCGGCAGCGTTTGAAAAGTGTTTTTATTTCCATTTAATGTGCAGGAAAATGGACGGACCCCGAACGCCACGAGATGAAAGAAGACGAGCGCAACATAATGAAGGTGGGTAATTAGCGATGATTGTGGCTTTTGATTTCGTCTGATGGTCCAGCACAATGCAGCTGACGGTGGCGAAGGGCCTAATGGAGCATTTTCTGTTGAAAGAACTTCACCAAACCCTGTCATAATATGTTATTACAAGAGCAGATATCATACTTATGTTTTTTAAATGGCCACTAGAGGGTACTGCTGAGCTGTTGAACTGGGTCAGTTTGCTTGAAATCTAAAAGATCCAAGAAAAAAGAAAAATCTGGTTCCTCAGGCAAAAACTACCTTCAGTAGAAAATAAATGTGGAGCTTATGCCTTTTTAAATTTTCTGCTGTGTTCTCCCTGTTCCCTTTAATTAGTCGAAAGACGACGACGAGACAAAATCAATAACTGGATCGTCACGCTTTCCAAGATGATACCCGACTGCACTATGGACAGCACCAAGACCGGAGCGGTAAGCCGTTTCTCTCTTGACTTTTTTTTTTTTTTTTTTTTTTTCCTCAAGCCTTTTTAAATTTCTGCCTTTCAGCCATGTGACTGACTGCAGTTGTGTCCCCCTCAGAGCAAAGGAGGCATCCTCTCAAAAGCTTGTGACTACATCCGTGACCTGCGGCAAAGCAACCAGCGACTGCAGGAGAGTCTGAAGGAAGTGGAGAGGATACAAGTGGACAATGAGTTGTGCAGGCAGCAGGTACTGATATCGGGCCTCACTTCGAGCTGGCAAACGTGGCATCAAGCAAAGTCTCAATGAGCTCAAGAATACATGAAAAAGGACCTATGAATGATAATTCAAAACCTTCTTTTGAGGTGGTGGGGTGTAGCAGATAAATAAAATCTGCGCACAAATAGTCAGCGGCAGTGGGCTGCATATGTGGCTGTGAAGATTGCCGCCGCTCTGAATAGATTGGTTTGGTGCTGCATTCAGCAGAAAAGTCTCAGAAGCATGAAATCCAGCCCAGCCCCATGTGCATCTTCATTTCTCCAAAACAAACCCCCTGGGATTCCAGGCTGTGTAGCTAATCATCACGGTCTGACAAAGAGGATCAAAGAGTTTGCACTCTTATAATGAGAAGTGTTACCTGACATCAGTGCTTTCAGAGGCAGTAGAGATGATATACTCAGGGGCTGTGAGAAAACTAAGTGCATCCTAATGCATTGAAAGTATTCTAAAATTCTGGAGCTCTCTTCTTTTTTTTTTTTGCCGCCTGTCTCCCCTTGAATCCGAGGCCTGCAAGGCGCTCGGCAATATATTTTTATTCCAGTGCTCAAAGCCTCATATCCTCTGCTCAGTCATGTGCTGAGGAAGCTGTGGAGTCAGAATGGCGGGTTTTGGACAGGGGGGTGTCTTTGAAAAGGTCTGCATGAATTTCCCCTAATCCCAGGTATTCCACAAAGCTGCGCTCCCATTAGCATAAGCCAGTTTAACTCCGCAAATAGAAAAAAAAACAAAAATGTTAGCTGCTGTAAACCGCGAGCTGCATTCACAGATGGGCCGCAGTAACGTAGATTAGCATGAAGAAGTTTATATCAGTAGTTCAATTGAAAAAGTGAAGCTTCTATATTGAATAAGTGTAATATACCAGGTAGTTATTTCAGTTCATTTTGATTATTACAACTTGCAGCTCATGAAGATTCAACATTTTGTTTCTCAGAAAACAAAATAACTTTAACCCACTGACAACTAGATTCATGTTCTGTGCAGTAAATGCTCTCAATATTTTGGGCTTTTTTTTGTATGAATTACTCCCATCAGTGCGGCATGTGGACATGATCAGCCAGTGGCTCTGCTGGGGTCAGCAGGAAGCTCAGCTTGCTTTCACTGCCCTTCAGCTTATCTGGTCCCGGTGCTTCTCATCTTCCTCTTGACCCCTGTGTCCGCAACCTTTACAACCTAAAGAGACATTTCTACTCTGCTCAACCAATTAAAACTTATTTAGAACCACAAATGTCACATGACTTACAAAAAAAAAAAAAAAAAAAAGGTAAACCAAAACTTTTAATAAATTTGGAA